CAACTTGACAGCACTCTCCACCACTGATTTGTTAAACATCAGCACAGACCTACAAACTATTACTGGCCAGAAAAGGAGCCACTGCCTTTGAGAAAGTTTCAAGTGGGTAGCTGTGTTAGTCTGAAGTTGTAGAACAAAATCTGAGTCCAATAGCACCTTAAAGACCAACAAACGTTTCTGGGGTATAAGCTTTCATGAGTCAGACCTCACTGACAAAGTGTGCCCACTGGCCTCAAAGTTTCTGCCTGTCAGAAAGGCATGCTTCCATGCTATCCTATTAGGATAACAAAGGAAGTATAACTGGCACTGTACTTTTGCATGGTGATATGCTACATTGCCCACTGTTGCTATACAATATAGCCCCCAAAACAATTTTATCTAACTTTGGTGACACTATGGCTATGAACTTTTACTATGGCAAGACGTTTGCTGACCGTGTCATTCGCAGGGGGGGGGCTGTTTTCATGTTGCAAGATATTCAAATATTTCATATTTTTTCATCTTCCTTTTTGATTTTAAGTATAATATGCATGTCATTTGTAATTTACCCATATGTATGTAATGCTATGCCTGACTACATATACTCCATTACAAAGAAAGGCATCCTACACAGCACCAACCATTCTGAAGCCCGAAATGTCTACAGAAAAATAAACTTCTAGCCCCTTACCTGCTGGGTAGAGAACAGAGTGGTCCTGTGGTAAAGGAAAGGCATCTCTACCTTGCCTGTTGCTATCTGAGGCAAAGCCTATTGTAACACACTGATTAAGCATTCACATACCATAGAATGGGATACTAGTGTGGAAAATGTAAATGGGAACATAAATGTAAAGTCCAGTGAACCGTGACTTCCTGGACACATAAAAAGAACACTATTGGATAAGACCAGTGGTCCATTTAGTCCACCACCCTGTTTCCTACAATGGCTAATCAGATACCTCTGAACATCACAGAAGGAAGAGAGAGGCCAAAACCTGCTTCTGCCACACACACACCCCAGAGGCCCCATTCAATCATCACTGGTCCCTTACTCTATGAATTTGTCTAATGCATCTAATCCAGTGTCCATCACCACACCCTGCAGCAATGAGCTCCACACGTTACAGATTTTATGTGAAGAACTACATCCTTTTATCTGTTCTGAATCAACTCCCTATCAGTTCCACTGGGTGTTCAACAGTTCCGATTTTGGACAGGGAGAGAATATTCTCTCTGTCCACTTTCTCTAAACCAGGGGTTCCCAACATGGCATCCATGGATGCCATGGCACCCACCAAAACATTCCCTGGTCTCCCCCAAGTGTTTCTAGAAAGTGAGAGTGGCAAGGTGGGGCTTTTGCCCAGAATGGCTTCTGAGTGGCCACTGGAGAATTTGATTGGTTGTGCAGATTTAAAGAACAACAACATTGCTTTGGCAGCAGCTGCCATCACAGCACAATGAACTTTACTGCATGACTAAAGCTAAGCTGTATGTAAGCAAGAAAATATTTTTAAACATGTTCATTTAAAAAGGCATCCTGTTAAGCAGAGCTTCTGCCTGAAATGGTGAAGAGTTGCTATTAGTTATTCATAACCTTACTCCCTGACATTTTGTGCTTGGTTCCACCTCCTGCAGCAACCATTCTGTGGTTGCACCTGTCACGCTGTGTCAGAATTCCAAAGGTGCCCGTGGGCTCAGAAAGACTGGGGACCCCTCTTCTCTAGACCTTAGTTATCCTGTTTCTAAACTGAAAAGCCCCAAAGACTTTGGCCTTTCCTTGTAAGTTGACCCAACACCTTGGTCATTTTGGTTGCCTTTTCTGAGCTCGTTCTGCCCTACAATATCATTACAGAAATATGGTGACAACTGTACACAGAATTCAAAATGTAGTTGCACCACAGAACAATACAAGGGCATGGCAATACTAGTGCAGAATTCCTCCTTTTCATTGCCACATACAAAGATTATATTTTCACTGAGCTCTCCACCATAGTCCCAGACCTCTTTCCTGATTAGTCATGACCAGTTCAGATCCTATAATTGTATGCACAAAGGTAAGATACTTTTACCTCAAGGTCATTATTTTTCACTTACTCACATGAAACATCATTTGCTACATTCACCCAGTGTAACAGTCACCCAGTGTGGGAAGATCCTCATGGAGAGCCTCATAATCTGCTTTGGATTTCACCATCCTGAATAACTGGGTGGCATCCACAAACTTGGCTGCTTCAGTGCTCATTAAATTACATTTAGTTTAAGAGCAATTAAATAATACCTGTCCTAATGCAGATCCCAGAAGGATCCCTTTATTCACTTTGCTCCATTGTGAGAATTGTCCATTTACCCCAAATCTTTGCTTCCTGTCATTTAACTAGTTACTAATATATTAGAAGAACCATTCTGTTATACAATGAATGTTAAGTTTACCCAACAGCCTTTGGTGAAGGCAGGGATGCCAAACTCCAGGTGGGGCCTAGAGGGTTCCTGGAATTATCACAGACCTCCAGAGAACAGAGAGAAAATGGCTGCTTTGGAGGATGGTTTGTATGACAGTATACCCTACTGAGGTCTCTCCCATCCCCAGGCTCCACCCCCAAAATCTCCAGGAATTTCCAAAACCAGATCTTGCAACCCTAGGTGAGGGCCTTCAGGAAACACCTTTTTGGAAGCCCAGGTATATAATGTCTACTATATAATTTCTTATGCATATGTTTGTTGACGCTCTCAAAAACACCCAAAAGGTTATAAGGCAGGACTTAAGCCAAGCTGATTCTTCCTCAGTAGGGCTTGTTCTTCTACACAATAATTCTACCTTTAATAACAGTTTCCATCAATTACTGATTTATAATTTCCTATATCCCCTCTGCATCCTTTAAAGATTAGCATTTTGTGACAAGTTGCATATTATTACTGTTATCATTGTTAAGAGATCAACAATTTCATATTTGTGTTTCTTAAGATCTCTTGGCCCTGACCTGGATAGCCCAAGCTAGCCTGATCCTTTCAGATCTTGGAAGCCAAGTACAAGCCTTGGCTAGTATTTGGAAGGGCGACCTCCAAGGAATACCAGGATTGCGACGGGGGGAAAATAATAGTGAACCACCTCTGAAATGTCTCTTGCCTTAAAAACATGTCTAGCTCACCACCTAGTGGTGCATAATGCAAAAGGGTCTTGAACTTTAAGCATCCAGACAATCTTAGGATCTCCTGGCTATTCTACACACAATACCATACAATAATTAATTAATTCTTGGGTGCACATCATCCAGACCTGGTGACTTCTTAATTTTTTATTCATCTGTTAGAATACCATGTCCAACACCTCTATTTGACTCCCTCAGAAAGAGAAAAATTACTCCTCAACTGTCTCCATTATTTTGACTCACTTCTTCTGAGACCCTTTTGGAAAACAGCAGTTTCGGAGTTGGTAGCCAACCTGTACCTTTTGCAGTAAAGACAGTCACAAAGCATGTACTCCTGGGTTGTAGCCCATCCACCTCCTTGGCCAGTTTTCTGCTACTCATGTATTCAAACAAATCTGTATTTTTGATCCTCAAATTCTTGTTTCACATCCCTTACCTGTCAGTTGACATTTGTTTTACTTGACCCTGTGGTCTTCCTTTCCCTTTTAAAAAGAAGCCTTCTTGCTTTTTTATGAGTTTGCTAGTGTTTTGATGGTACTTTTCCCAATGGGTGGTATATATTGTATCTGAGCTTCAACCACTGTCAATCTAGACAGTTTCCTGAAGAGAACTGACCATCTTTACATTTCAACTTCATGTTGGATTTCTTGGGCAATTCCCCCCCCCCTACACAAATGCTGGATTTGATAGTGCTGTGGTCACTGTTTCAACTGGTACAACACTTAAATCTCACATTGTCCTGGGCCCCACTCTGGCTCAAGTCCAGGGTCATCTCCATTGGCACTATGAAGCATCAGCTGACACTGACACCTAGGGCTTCTCTCATTTTTCTGGCAGGGTTCCAGTGCCTTTAACAGCTCCTTGAGACACAGGATGTCAAAGGCTTCACCTGTTGAATGCTTATGGGCTGGGCTCCTATTAAAGGCAGAGGAACCTTGCGAAAGGAAAAAGAAAAGAGTTGACAGCCCTATATAATTCCTCTTACTTTTCAGTCAAATCCTGGGGGGAAGTAGGAGTCCGTGAACTCAGACAACACAGGAAGTTCACATTCTAAGCTTAAATCCATTTATCATATAAGTAGTACCAGCTGTATGGTAGCTCCCCCCCCGATCTAAACAAGAGAATATTGAATATAATTAGAAGTTTACTCCCCGAAGTAAAGCAAAGCAAAGTTTGCTCTATATAGCAATTACTCTCAAAAACACAGCTTAGGTCATACAGCTTGACTTCTGCACGTGTGTTCTGGAATGGAAACTATAACTAGTTTCCAGCTATATAACATATAAACAGCTCATCAAGCATGGAGCCATCACAAAAGGTGCATGTATTGTGAAACCCATTAACCGACTTCTTCCCGAGTCCCCCTTGTTTTATTAGTCAGATAAGAGAGATGTAATGAGCAAGAGACCTTTTAAAAAGGCAAGGGCCTGCCCCAAACCTCTTTTTCACAGACCAAAAGTCAATCAATTGGCAACGAAGCCTGTCTTTTGGTATTATTATCTCCTCTCTGAAGCACCTCCACCACAACCTCTGTGATGAAGGGGGGGGGAGATTCCAGATGCCGACATCAGGTCACTGTTCCAGATGTGTCGAAAAGCTTCAAGTTGGCGATCTAGATTGCCATGTTGATAATTAGTGATTTGTCACAGCAATTATGCTATAAAGTTATGAATCAATTCAGAGTGAATTTGCTTCTCTGCTACTTACACTGCTTCATCACACTTAATCTCATGTAAGGGAACATCTCCTTCATTTGATTTCTCAATTAACATAACAAATGGGGTGTCATTTTTTTAAAGGCTGAAGCTCTACATTTAAAAAGGAAAACGGTGTTACTTGTTCTCTTAGGTATACAATAACAGCAAAGCATCTTACCAGCCCATCGCAATTGCTGATTGCAACAGAAGCATTAGGCAAGTCGGTGATATCCCCAACATAGAGGCAATTCCCATGGAGTGGTTCGATGTAAGTGATATTAGAGTCCACCTGCCATTCAACAGTTGCTCCAGGGGCCACCAGCCTGGAGTTTGGTCTCAGTCTAAAGTGAAATTCTCTTCCAAAAACAGTGACGTTATAAAAAATTTGCTCATTTGCGGCTCCGTGCGGAAGATCCCCCGGGGTGTCCCTTCGGAAGCGCCCCTTTGGAGCTCCAGACACAACCTTGGAGAGGAACCTGCCCTCAGAGTCCGTGCTAGTTGGGACGACAAGTCTGTATTCTTCTAGCGCCCCCAAAATATAACCTGGAGAAAGAGAGAGTAAATAATTAGTTACAGTAGAAGTCACTCCAGACTTCTTCCTCCTTGAGAACACTGTAGTCCTTTCCCCAGACGCATGAAGGCATATAGCCTTCTTCAGCATATCATACCCCATAAAGCTTATTCAATTATGGGGTAATGCAGGGGACAGAGAGCAAGGCACGCTCACTTACAGTGCAGACCCCTTGCATCAATCTTTATTACCGGAATCCAGCTTGAAGACACGCCACAGACTGTGGGTTAGTCGATCATCCAAGATGCTGCCTTTTAGCAACTGGGGCATGAGGGCAACAGGGATAACCTCTCCTAATGCACCAGCTCCTCATCAATCAGTTTTAAACGGGGCGGCTGGAAGCAGCAGGGGTGAAGATCTGAAGGGACATACAAACTTTCACCATCCCATCAACTTTTAAACTTTGCCATGAGCTTCCAGAAACAAAAGCAGTTTTGAATCCCGGGAAGTCAACTTTCAAGTTTGTCATTGGCAGTTGCAGCAGAAAGCTTTTAAGCAGAACAGAAAGAAAAAGTCAACCGCTTGGTCCATTCCCACTGTTTTGAGTCACACAACAGCAGGAAAGAAAATCAAGTCCTTGCCAGGTGTTTTATTCCACACATGGAATTCCAGGAATTGACACACTAAACTCGGGTCTGCCACATGCGTCCTACTGTAAACAGAGTTCATTCGAGGTTCCCGGCCCCCACCCCCCCCGCCCGTGCCGCTGAAACTCTTGTTCCTCGGGCGAGCTCCCAGAAGCGCTCTCTCCCCCTGCTTTCCCTCCTCTTCCCCCGAGACAGCAAACCAGAAGTAGCCACACGTGGCGGCGAGGAGTACCCACGAGCCTTTCCTCCAGGCAGCCAGGGTCAGCGTGGCGCGGCGAAGTCTGGCTGGGAGAAAGGGGGGAAAGTCCTTCGCGGGCTAAGTTGAGAGCGGGCGAGCGAACCTCGGGGAGAGCCGGGCAAAGAGAGGGAGCAGCTCCCACCGGCCTTATCGGGCTAGCCCAGGAAAGCCCAGCACCTACCTCTCTCCGCGGGACTGTGCGGGGCCCCCGGAGCCAGGAGGAGCGCCCAGCAGGCGAGAAGCGAGGCGATCTCGGCTGCAGGACCCATGGCAGGCGTAGCGCAGCCCGATCCCAGCCTTTGGAGCCAGCCTTAAAGTTCCCTGCAGGGGACTCCGGCCACATTGGAGGGCAGCCGGCACCGCCCTCTTGCCCGCGGCGCCTCTGCCGGCAGGGAAACCTCAGCCCCGCTGGCGCTGGTGCAGCCGCTCCTCTCCAGCGCTCGGCGAGCGGCCGCTCTCCTCGGCGAAGGCAGCAGAGACACCAGGAGGCGGCTGGCTGGCTGGAAAGCGCAGGGCGTGCGGGAGGGAAGTCCGCCTGATTGACAGAGGCGCTGCTGCCTGCGAGCCTGCCACAGCCCAGCCTAGCCTGAGCCTATAGCCCGGCCTCGCAGCGGCGACGGCGGCTCCCTGGGACTCTGGCCGCTCCTGCCGCCCTGTGGGACCAAACTCCGCCGCTGCCTCCCGCTACGGGACACTTTTCTCCAACACGGCTTAGAGGCGGTTCCTGCGGGATCCTGACCATTTCTTCCAGCCAATCGAGAAAACCCTTCTCTCCTCCGAAGACAGGCAGCGAGGAGAGAGAGATCGCGCCGCTGATTGCACCAAAAAGAAGCACGCTCCGTGGGATCAGTCAGGTCCTTCTGCTGCGCTTTCAAGGAACCTCGCAACGCCTCCTTTTCTGACAGTGGCTGGGGGTTCTGTTTCAAGTGCGTTTTCTCGCGAAGTCTAAATGGAGACCGAATTTGTTGACGCTCACTGCACATACACACTTTGTGGTGTCATGGTCCACCTAAACGACTCCTGAAAGCTCATGGTTGTCTACTTAGAGCTCCAATCCTGCCTGCTTTTCCTACACCAAATATTCTGGGATCGATCACATCTTGACTGTCAATCCCAAATCTAGGGCAAACCTTCCTTACAGGGTCTTCTGGCCTCTTCCTGAAAACTCGCACATGTCTCAGATTGAACTTGTTTGGTATCATGCAAACAAGCTCTTTTCACACGTGCTCAGTTTATCTTTGCTATATGCCTGCACGCGTAGACTCATTCTCACAATCATAGGAATATTATGACATGAATATTATTGTACAATGCAAACCAATGTGTGCTTACTTAATACATTTATGAATGTATTAAGACTTCTTTATAAGTAAGCATACACAGGATTGGACAGTAAACGTAAAAATTATTGATAAAAACAGATCCTTTAAGCTTCATTCTCTCACTCTTCCAGTCTCTTACACAGTCTCTCAGCTGCATGTGTGGAGGGGGGGGAGTAGATTCACACATCAATCATTACCAGGGTACAAGATTAAATAATTAGTCTGAAGCCTGGGTTCTGTAGAATCTCAATATTTGTCAGTCACTTGTTGTAAGCTAAGACTTTCTTTTAAACTGAAATCCTTCTGCCCGCCAGCATGGCTTTATTATGATAACTGAGCAAAAGTAGAGAATTATTTGCTTTTTGCCCCGCTTTGTATGTGTGCTGACCACAGTGCAATATTTTGAAGTCCCATTGATTTTAAAATGAGAGTTAAGCAGCTTAAAATCATGGTAGCTGAAGTCTAAGTAACATAGATGATATTTTGAAGTCCCATTGATTTTAAAATCAGAGTTAAGCACATGCTTAAGATCATGGTAGGTGAAGTCTAAGTCACTTAGACGCCAAAGAACTTGATTCTGTTAACTTGGGGGAAGTCCCATTAAGTTGCATGGGACTCTCTTCCAAGATTAAGTACTACAATCAGGAACCCATAAGGATCTTATTCCCCCACACACACACTAATTGTTTAAATGTTTTAATATTTTTGTGTGTGCCACCTTTTGGATCCTGATTGGGTGGAAAGGCAGCATTAAAATATTTCCTTTTTCTCTTCCCTGAAAGCCCCCATAGCCTCTCCTGCCTCCTTCTGCCCTTCCCACCCACCAGCCAACCCACCTTTATCTCTCCTCCTCATCTTCAGTTTTCCCTTCTTCCCTACCCCTGGTAGCCTGTACACAAGAAAACTATGGCCCAGTTGTACTGTGCCAGGACTTGCAAGGCGCACCTTATTTTCCCCTGTATATTATCCCCACACTCTTTTCCTCTTTTTCCCCTCTTGGCAATCCCCATATCCTCCCACATCCCTGCTGGTTTCTCTCTGTCCCACCCATCCACCAACCTTTTATCTGGCCCCCATCTTCAGCTGTAGTTACTATTTAGTTATTATTTACCTCATTTCTATCCCACCTTTCTCCACAGTGAGGACCCAAAGTAGTTTCCATTATCCTTCTCTTCTCCATTTTATTTTCAAAGCCACCCAGTGAAGTTGGTTAGGCTGAGAGTACATGACTGGCACAAGGTTATCAGGTGAGCTTCCATGTTAGATTGGGGTTTTGAACCTCGGCCTCCCAGATCCTAGTCTGAAGCTCTAAATGTAAGTTTCTTGTATCTATTGACTTACCTGGTTTGAGTGTCTGGTCAATATCAGAGTTGTAAGTATGTACCTTTAACAAACTGATTTAAAAGGATGAGAATAGATAGCCCCTGTTAAGGCTTGACTCGCCCGTGATTTGGAAAGATATTTGGACAGATTAGTGGATAGGAGTGTGTTTCTCCTTGAGGAGAATATTCAGCATTTTGGTTGTAACCGACTTTCATAAATTTCTGTAACCGCTATAAATAAATAATTAATTGTTAAAATGAACAATGGTAATAATATTTCATTGTAGAAATGGATGAGTCATTATGGAATAGCTATGAAATAAGAAGACACATCTTGTTGTATGTATGAATTTTAACGAATCCTTTAAATATATGGGCTTTTGGTACATTGTCTTAATATGAATATAACATTGTAACTGTATTTTATGAAGGAGTATTGATGTTTGGAGGAAGTTCTTTACGAAACGGAAGGTCTAATCCGGAGAATTTCGTCAACATCTGGAACTGAAGGAGATCTATTTGTAATTTTGTATGATTTTGTAATTATTCAGTGTTCAATTATTATATTGTCAAATTACAAACATTGTTTGCACGCATTGCAATTTCTATTTTCATTGGAATTTGCTATACTAACTGCAACCCCCTATAGTTGAACAGTAGCAAGCAGCCATGCCTAGATCAGGCATGCATGTTGCCTGGTATCAAGTTGCCCAGTGGTTCCTGCTGGCCCTGGCCATGATGAGTCCTTCCTCAAATGCCAAAACAACCCAGAGCATAGACTGCCCTTACTTCCAAATCTGTGTATTAGAAGGCAGTCAGGACCAATCATCATTATCAACAGTCATAAGGAATTTATTGAACATTTAAGGTACTTCAATTAATTTTGCCAACCATCTTTACAACAGTCCTGTAAGATGGACAGGTATTGTTTTCCCAGTCTTGCATGTGGAGCAGAGGCTGAGGCAGAAGCTAGCCTAAGGCCTTGTTTTGTTGCCTGTTCTTGTCTGGGGTGACATTTGAACTCTGGTCTTCCTCTTAGAATAGTAGTTCTCACAAAGAAACAACTCTGTCATATAGACATGGTGCAAATTTCCTAGGCTAAAATTACACCGTCTTGTTTGTGGACTCCAGTAGAGGTTATGGGCAAGAGAGTCCTTATCAGTGCAATCCTAAACAGAATTACACCCTTCAAAATTCATTAAGATCAGGGGGTTTATAAGGCTGTAACTGTTTAAGATTGTAGTCTGCTGATCTGTAGGAAGTAGGCTGAGATAGTCCCATGCAGTGGTGGAATAAAGCTCTAAATGCAATTTCCCAGGAATTTAGGGAGTTTTGGCTGCATTAATCATAGCTGGTATCAAGCCAAGAGTGAGCTGGGAATAGGTCACAGTTAATGGAAGGATTAATCAAAAATACCTTTTCTTACTATCCCAAATGTAATGCTCTATATCTATGATACTACATCACAGGAAGAAGTAGACCACATATTTTCTGTCCTTTAGGACCAGCTGTAATTTCTCAGATGAAGTTGCCCTTCATGGAGGGGGGCATACTCTATTGAGGTTTGGGGATCTTGGAGGTACCAGGCTGGGCTGGAAGTCCATTATCATGATATCATCTATTTATATCATTTTGGAATTAAACTAGATATTTTTTTCCTTTGGTGACTCATACACACACACGCGCGCACAGAATAAGGACCATTGTGGAAATAAATACAATGGGATCTAGAAAGAGGCTCACACGGGCCGGAAATGCGGGGTGGAAGCGTGGCTGTTTGCCCCGGAGCAACCTAACGCGCGGCTGCGCGATCAGATGTCCCGTCGAGGTCCCATGGTTAGGGAGGAGGTGCTGATCACACGACGTGGCAAAGAAGCGGCACGGTGTGGCAAACAGGGCTGTGTTTTGGGTTTAAACTGAAGTGTGTGCATGTGCCATTGGGTGCTTGTGCGCATCCCGTGAAGACTTGAAAAAAAACGTTTTGCATGTCATACCCCACCCCCACCTACGAACCCCCTGCCTGCTTCATGGCCTTTCCCTTGAGTCCCCGTGTCGTCGTCAGGCCCCCCCTCGCCCCCGGCACTCATGCCTTGCCCAGGAGGTGATGCCGGCGTTGCTCATCCTAGGAAGGTGCCGGGGGGGGGGCTGGCTGGTGCGAAGCTCTCTCCCCCCCTCCCCCACAACAACTCGTCTGCTCTTCTTTCCTCTTCATCTGAATTACGTGGCAAACTGTTTTTTATTTTTGTGTACATGACCAATGCGCATGCTTCGGTGGGTGCGCATGCGCATCCACAGAGACTTGGACAAAAAAAAACACATTATTTGCAAGGGGACATGGGCGGGCGCCTGATGCCACCGGAAACGCGATCAGACGCCCGCCCTTGCCCCGTGGTTACCGGAAACTAGTACCTCGGAGGTACTAGTTTTTAACTGCGCATCTTCGGAGGGAAGCCTCGGGTTTACCATGGGAGCTCTACGCTTCCCAGATGTTGCGGTGTGATCGCACCCAGAAAATCTGCCTATCATCCATCTCAGTAGCATGGCTACTGCTCCATGTGACCGCAGCCTATATGGGGCAACTATCACCTGGCAGAATGCGTGTAGAACAGCGCTACTGGAGACCGC